GCCCCCTAATCCCCAAAAAGGAGAAAAGTTTGTTTGATTTTGGGACAACAAAATCTTTGTTGAGATACAGGATTAAGTAACCACGTCAGTAATTAAATGCTCATTATTAATATCGTGTCTGATTATAAAAGTTTCTTCAGTGATGTGGCCACTTTCCGAGGTTGGTGTCGCGTTAGGAATACCTTGTACGTTCCAGTTATCAATAAATGTGTTTATATTGTCACTGAAAGAAAGAAATAGTATTTTTATACGTGTAGTACATTAGCAAATGGTCAGTAAGTAAATTTGAAGTATACACTGTGTAACTGTTTAAGCCCCATCTGTCGAACCACTCGTTTTCTAGAAAAGTAGCACACCAGGGACGTAGTATTACATTAGTTATTTCCCGTTTTAAACTCGAATATTTTGAAGTACCTGCAATAAGTATTTTACCAATAGTTTGGTAGTATTTAAAACTTCAACGTGAATAGGTTTTATATTAATAGCGAATGAGGTAAACAGTGACAGTTGACAATTACTAAACAATATGAAATAAGTAATGTCAATCATTTCAGGAACCAAAACATGTACTTGGAGTAGGATAATTCAGAAACGATGACCTACGTGTGGTTGTTTGTGCTAGTAATTACTAATCGTAGTATTCATACCTCATTGAAAAACAAAATTAGAAAAAAAAAAGCATTTTCTAAAAGGTTTTTTCTTGCAAGTACTGCACTAGAAAAGTGTTCGGATTGTGCTCTTTAGTCATATGCAAATGATTCAATGTGCAGAGCTCCAAATTTTCATAACTATTACTAATATAAACTGTAATGTTTTTATATATTAAAAGTGCTACCCGTTATTGAAAAAACTATTTTTTTTTACTTACTTAGGTTTCTTAGTACTACATCAATAAAGATATAATCAAATCCTCACGTACAGTCTAGTGAAAGTCGTGTTCTTTTTGGTGAGGAGAGTACTTTTATTTTAAATTGTGTTTTATTATAAAGAAACAGTTGTTGCACATACCGCAGTTAATTTTTTAATTATCTGAATCTTGAATACCCAAAGTGTGAATTTTTTTATGAATTTTTTGTTTGTGGTGCCATTCAATAGATGCCGCAGGAGTTTTGGTTACATACAGAGATACTGACATACACCCTACGTCCATTATAGTAAGAAAAATATGTTGAAGAAAATGAATAACTTGTATAAAAAAAAAATGATATTAGCTGTGATATACTTTGTTAGAATTCTTATAAACATGAAACGGGCGTGGCTTAATGGTTAGCATGTCTGATCTTTGAATCCAAGTTGAATCAAAAACGCGCTCTACACTTTCGGACCGTGGTGGCTATCATAGTAACAATAAAATCACTATTCGATGAGAATAACTCAAGAGGTGGCGACAGATGCTGTTGATTAGCTGCTTTCTATCAAGCATATCAGCTCAAAATTAATTAAAGACGACTATGCGCAAAAAGCCTGTGCGCAACATTTAGAAATAAACATATTGCTGTTTAGGATTGGAATAATAAAACCTGTGTTTACAAGTTCTTGACAGATACTTTGCACTGTCGATCTTGGTTTGACTGAAATATATTACAGTAGACTATATTTATGTCAAACCTCTATCAAGAAACTTGAATTAACCATAAATTGAGCTTAAAACATATGTCCTAACATTTTCAGTTTAGCTAAACTATTTTAGAGTAAGATTTTTATGTAAAGTTTATTGTCATATCGTTTGTAGTGAATGTTATAAAAGTAAGAAAATACCTTTAAGGCAATGGAAAATACTTAGGTATAGAAAACAGAGCATGCGTACATTGAAGACTCCTGACAATAAAAAACTTCCTGACTTTTGCTCATTAATAAGGGCCCTGAACCATCTACATATGTGAGAATGACACCCGAAAGAAACAGTACCGACAAACAGCGTCATTTTCTAGTAGGTGTCTAAAAGGGTTAAAGGTTAAAACTGTCGTTGAGTTCGTGTGATAAGTGACCAGGAACCGCACGTATTAATAAGCAGTATTCATCGACTTCATTTCAAACGACTTGTGTTCGGTTCATTTTCTTTGAATGTGCTAGTTGTTCACTCTTGCCTTGTGTATAAACTTGCCGAGTTCGTTTTCGAGGTTCACTTCCTGGTTTTGTTCGTACTCGCCGAGAATTTCCGGTGTTCACATAAAGTTTCTCAAGAGAATTAAACTCGGTTCTTTTACCAAACGAATCGAGACCACTTCTTCTGGTGGACTCGTTTTTTTTTTTTAACGAAAAAAAGCTCCAGTGTGAACAGGCCGTTATATAGACATAAAGTCGTGATTGCACTGGGTATACTGAGATTTGAAGTTATCTTTTTCGAAGGTTCCTCGATGACTGACTTGCAGAAAAATAAAAATTCAATTGTTTTTTGAAGCATCTC